TTGTTATCTTCATTTTAGATTTCAAAAAGTATAAAGTATTTGCGGCTCCCAGTGTTTTCTTTTGCGTGGAAACTGGGTCCAAGTGGCTCTTTGGGTGTTAACAGTTGCTGACCCCTGGTATAGCATATGCGCGCGAGCGCAAAAATGCACATCTACGTGTGTGTGTGCCCAGGGGTGTAAACGTGAGGGGTGTATTGAAATTGTCAACTTGCTGTGAGCCTGGAAAAAACGATAAATTGAAGCATCATTTTCATCTGCAATTTTGGAAAGCTGATAAAAAAAGCTCTTCCTTCAGGGCAGAGAAAAATTTGATGGACAGAGTCCAGATGGAGCTTCTAAGGCAGGGGTGTGAAACACAAGGCCTGGGGGCCAGAATCTAGCCGACAAAGATTCCAATCCAGCCCACTGGACAGCTTTGGGAAATGTGATGGAGGGCATGAATTTGGAACTTTTTATAGACTTTTTACTGTGTTTTCATACGGTTTTCCTGCTGGTAAAGAGCTCCCTTAGGGCCATTCATATACACCAAACGAATTAAGTAAGCAATTATAATAAATAAATTATAGTTACAATTTACGATTTACTGTTGAAATCTGCTTTTTGCCCAAATGGTCCCACAGTTGAAAAGCTTAGATTTCTTAGAATTTAAGTCCAAAGAGTCACACAGACAAATGTCTTTCCTTTGCTACAGCAGCATTTCTTTATCACGTTGACAAACTCTTAAAATAGCACTTCTTTATTGTTTCTACTTCTTTAGATATTTAGATAAATGCGAGTTAAACGTCTTTACACTGACAGGGCGTTTACACTCGTCCAGCCAACGATGTCAAATGAGTTTGACATCGCTGATCTAAGCGGTCAATTTGCCTTTAATTTGTTGGAGATAGTAGCTCATTTCCAGATTCCACATTGGAATTGATACCAATATTTATCATATAAACTTCGGTGAACTTGAAAAAAAATAGCTGTGAACGCAGCTTGGAGTGCTTTAATATGGCCTGTAACATGCTAATGAGCAAGCAGCATTGGCGTGACTCTGAGGGGGAGCCACAGCCGCAGGTCCTATCATCACAATGTTATATCACAAGCTGACCTCGAAAAGGTTTCACTTAAAAGTAATTTCACGTAGTCATTTTCCGGGGCGCCTCTGTAGCCTTAATAGTAAGGATGCAAACCGAGCAACCAAATCGTCCCCGATTTCACTGCCGGCTGAGTGGACCCTCCAGCCATACTCCGCCACCCTCACTTCCTGTCTATCACCACCGCTGCTCTCAGATGAAGGCGTCTATAACAAACTAATACAAATGTTATAAGCAGCGGTGCGAGTTGTCTGTTTTATTGGATCGTATTAAGCCCGTATGTCTAATGAATGTTTCTTAGGCAATAACTTGTGACCCGAGCAGAGTAATAATAGTGTTTCACATTTCTCCTATGCCCCTGATATAATGAGGAGCGAGACAGAAATAGTGTTGTGAAAGCTCAGGGTGAAAAAAAACGCATGTAGTAATTACAGTGTGTGTGTGGTGGGGTGGTGGGGTGATGATCATACTGTTGGGGGGGGAAGAATGTGCTGAGGCTTTCCTATATGTGTGTGAGTTAATTCATGTGTGATTACCATGATAACTGCACATGAGGTCTTAGCTGATTTGTTGATTTATTTGCACAGGCATGAAAGTAGATGCCTTTAAAGAGTGTGTGTGTGTGTGTGTGTGTGTGTGTGTGTGTGTGTGTGTGTGTGTGTGTGTATGCATTTCTGATTACTTTCCTGACACTGCAGGTACGGAGGGATCTCCGTCGGAGCAATCAACTCTCAAGTTCGTTTGACGGAGGCAGCAATCACGGATACATTCAGAGATCTAAAAGGCCTATTCAGTTCAGCTCAGGTATGTGATAAATATTGGCATTCACAAAGTCAAACTTGTTGATACCACTGCATTATATGAATTTCTTTTATGGTGTAGAAAAGTAGTACAATGTAGTGCAAAGCCAGAAGTTGTACTGTTGGAAAATATCCCATGGGCATCTACAAAGACACACAAAACCTTGAAATTCATCCCCCCCCATCTTTCTGTTCCTGCACCACATACTGTCCATATAAATGATGGGAACAAGAAAAGACCTGCCTCAGATCAGCAGTGTGATGATACCTGAAATGTCTTTGAAAAAGAGGAAATTTGTTGCACTATTTGTTGATCCTTTTTAAGAACATTACAGGCATGGCTCAAGGTCACGTGAGTCTGGTCTGCAACTTTGCTCTAGAGTCAATTATCCACCCAAATATTACAGGCATTGCCATGAAATCTTCCAGGTAGTTTTATATTCTTTACATTATTTATATTTGATCTTTT